TTTTTTTTATATCAGCATGAAAACTCCACAGTATTGAAAACTATCAAAATTTCTCTAATTCTTATACAATCTTACCAAATAAGTGAATCTTAGTTCATAAATAAGATATCGAAATATCCTAAGGTGCTATATTGATAAATCACATATCTCTATGTTTATTTAATAGTTAAATATTTGTGCTTACAAAATTTTTGATACACATAATTTTACAAAGGTTCACTAATCAACAATAGTAGTAACTAGTTATTCTTTAGTAAAATTCTTTTACATGATACGAAAAATCTATTTATGGGGATCATGAGTCTCATTTTTTTTTACAATTTGAAATAATTTGTTATATATATATATATATATATATATATATATATATATATATATATAAAGTGTTGCCAAAAAAGGAAAAAAGGTCATTCTTTTGAAACAAACTAAAAAGGAAATAGGGACATTCTTTTTAAAACGGAGGGAGTATGTTTTTAAACACATAAGCTAGTATATTTTGGGAGTAGTATTGAACACCAATATAGTGGAGAGTTAAAGATAACTCATAGCCCCCATAAAACATGTAGCCAATGTGGGTAGCAAGGGTCATACATTTTAAATGATTTCTTAATGTCTTTTAGCACGGAGTAGTGGATATACTTAGTGAGTAGGTCTTATACCCTTGCGAATTATAGAACATTTCTAGCACCGTTGGCGAGACGTTGTATCATCACATTACTCATAGTGATGGTTATCGGTTAGAGAAACTCCCATAAAGATATTTGTATTTTTATATACACAAAGTTTACTGTGTAATTTCATATTCAACAAAGTTTATATTGTATCCTTGTATACTATAACGACCTGTTTAGTCGTTTCGAGCAGTAGAATCACTGTGATAAAAACTGACTGTGTTGACGGATCACACGACGGACCGTCGAGTGTCTCCGTGCCAAAACACTTAAACTCTGAAATTTGGGTACGGGGAATCAACTCTCTGAACTTCGCGACGACATGGCAGCACGGACCGTCGTAGGCACAACGGACCGTCACAGAGCTCTTAAATGAAATTGAGTCTCTGAACTCTGTGACGACCCTGCAGGACGGACCGTCGCAGGCATGACGGGCCGTCACGAGCTGCGTAACCCTGACTGGGTCGGATTTCTGCTAAAGTTTTAAAGGGGCGTTTTGGACTATTTATGACAAACTGTATGAAATTAGGGGATAAGTTTAATAACTTATTTGCTTGGGGGTTAAAGGAGATAACCTTGAAATAAATAGTGGGTTACTTTTATCATCTTTTATACTTAATTATATGGTAATTAGGGTAAAACAAAGGGAATTTGAAAGGGGAGAAAAATTAAAAAGAAAAGAAGAGAGAACGAGCGAGAGAGAAAGAAGAACGAAGAGAAAGCAAAAAGCATTGGAGAATTAGATTGCTTGATCACAATTCTTCGGTGGAGGTAGGTTATGGTTTATGATATTTCATAGTAAACTCTTAATAGCGAATGATATGTATTGGGTAGTATTGTAAAGTCTTCTATATGCTTAATTGTGTGCTTGCATGATGTGATTATGTAATTGTAATGGATTGAAAAGATGAGGCTGTGAATCTTAAACCTTAAATCCACTTTGTTAATGATGATGCCTTGGTATAAAAGAAGGCCCGATGAACTAAAAGAATGAGAGTAGGGGATCGGGTATCACGAACCGACACGTAGAATTAGGGGATCGGGTGTCACGAACCGACACGTAGAATTAGGGAATCGGAGTGTCACGTACCGACACCAGGAATTAAGGGATCAGGTGTCACGAACCGACACGTAGTAGTAGGGGATCGGAGTGTCACGTTCCGACACCAGGATGATAAAGAGAATGAATCTTGAATTATGTTAATATACTCAATTTAAAGAACCTATTCCCCAAATGAGTATGGTGTGGAGGCTTGAGTCCTCATAGATGTGCTTGGGTTGTGGCCAATGGTTATGGTACTTGTTGTTTGTCACCTGTTAAGTATTATGGTTGGTTTTATGCTATTATTTGATATATATTGCTTTCTATTTTGAGTTGGCCGATGATACCTACTCAGTAGGTGTTCCTTGTACTAACCCCTACTTGTATGTTTCTCTTTGTTATTTGTGGAGTGCAGCAAACGTGCCATCGATTTCAACTCGTCCTCAACTCTAGCCAGTCTTCATCACGTCAGATTTCAGGGTAAGCTATTGTTCCTAGCTCGGACTGTATTCTCTCTCATTCATGTCTTGATGTCCTTGAAGGTTCGGACATGGACCATCTGTTTACTTATTTTAGCTTCCTAGATACTCTTAGATTTAGTAATTTGAGGATAGAATGTTCTTGTGGTGATGACTTCCAGATTTTGGGGATAGTAATTGATAAATTTTAGAAGTTATTAATTGATTTCGTTAATGAGTTTTAAGTCTTCCGCATTATATTTTGTTCACTATGGTTGAAATATTGGTAAATGTTGGGATTTAGATTTGTTGGTTCGCTCATATAGGAGGATAAGTGTCGGTGCCACTCGCGACTCGTTTTGGGTCGTGACATATACAAACTAAGTGTATTGTATTCCTAAACACATTGAGTTGCTTTCTACTATTTTAAAAGCTTTCTCTCTCTCTCTCTCTCTATATATATATATATATATATATATATATATATATATATATGTATATATATATATATATATATAGTGCATCTTTTATTTTTGCTTTATCCTCGAGTATCATGAGTTGAGTATCTTATTCTTGAGTTGAGTATCTTATTCTTGAGTTGAGTGAATTCAGAAAATGTAAGTATGATTCCTTTTTATAAAGTTTAAGCTTATGTTTATGTTTAAAATTCTCCTTAAATGCTCGTACATTTCACGTACTGAGACATTTTGCATGCATCATTTCATGATGTAAAAACTCGTATTCAGGGTCATCAACACGAGTTCTAATGGTACCACATGCAGTTCTAGGTAGTTATGGTTATCCTCCTTGCTTCTAGATTATTTCATTTACTTTCAGTTATATAAGTTGTTAGGAAGTCATGGGTCTTGTCCCGACTTTTATCTTTGTCATTTAGAGGCTTCATAAATAGACCGTAAAGTTTGAGAAGTCTATTCATTTATTTTATTATATGTTTTAAAGACCTAAGTTGCCCATTTTGGGTCGAGTTATATATATTATATTCTTCAGAGTTTTATTTTTTGTTTAAGCTTGTACTTAAGTTTTTCATGAATTTTATTTTGTTTTAAGGTTTGTATGCTTAAGTTAGTCTTCCGCTTGTAGTTAGCCAGGATGAGAGTTCGCTTGGGGACCAACAATGATTTTCGAGTGTCGACCATATTGTTGCGCTCAAATCGCACACACAAGTGCACATGACCATTTAAGCATTACTTTTATAAAGAGCTTGTTATCATACCCACAGGGACTTATGCTTAGACTAACTTAACTTCTCCTACTTTCATGTAGACACAAATGTTATCAGATTTCAAAAGTGATATAGTTTCTAATTGTACAAGTTTAATAAAATGTAACAAACACGATACAATTTCAAGGTTTACAAATAATGATTGGGTAAAGTCAAGGGCTACAACTTTTATCAAGATTCATGCAATTACTATCATTTAAATGGGTATATATCGACTGTGAAATCAATGAATTACCAAATCAAATGATGATTTTTGTCTCCTGACCTTTAATCGCCTACGATAACTATCCCCCTAAATACATTGTTGAGTAGGGATATGATGGATTAAGTACCGAGCATTATGATTTCCATGTATAGTGACCAAACATGGTTTCTAAGTATATCCTTATCATAGATACACATTAACCCTAATTATTAAAAATTAATCATGCTCCTTATGCCCCACGTTCTATCCTCTTATTACTCTTCCTAGTACAATTTAGACAATATATTTATTGTAATGGTGATCAGTCACGAAATACAGAAAGCAAGAACATAAGAATGATTTATATAATAGTTGACATTAGCCCAATAAAAACTTAATAAATTAGAATTATCTTGTAGCCACAACCCTAGAACCAGGGTATTTAGCTACTCAGAATCAAAGATTCGATAAAAAAATGTTGAATAAACATAAAGAGATTGAAAGTAAAATAGTTTAGGAAAGAAGCCTAAAAATGGTGAAAACGCTTTCCCAAGGCATCGTTCTTCAAAACTTTGAAAAAGTAAATCTAATAAAATAAATAATGGCCTATTTATACCAAAAATCAAAACGACAAAAAACAGAAGCCAAGGGCGCGATGCGGAGGCATTCCGTGATTTCAATCTGAGATCTTTTCTCTTTTCTGTGACGTGGCAGCTACACGAACCACTCTGCCTCAATTTGCTTCTCGCGAATTAATTCAGGACAGTCGCAAAGAGGGTGCGGAATGCTCTGCCTCAGTCTTGATTTTGTGAGCCAAATTACAATGCCTCTCCGCGACGCGGAAAGGATACATAGATGCCTAGAATTTTTCTCTAGCTTCTTCCTTACTTTCTTTCGACTCGGATCTTTTGAGTTCCTCCATTATCCATTTTTGTGCTCGTTTTGCCAATTAAGCTCACATACACAACTAATTATTGACACCCAATTTTGACTATCCACAATATAAATTAATCACCGAACTTCTTATTTCCCAAACATTAGAATAATTAGTTCTATAAAATTTAAAATAGTATTTAAGTTTATTTTAAATAGTTTTGTCACTTTTTATAATTTTTAAAGAATGTATATGTCTTACATAATTATATATAATTAGTATATTTTATGGATATTCAAAAATCATCTAAAAATATTTGTTATTTAAATATTTTAGTAATTTGTTTATTAAAGTTACAATTTATATTTGTGAATTAAATAGTTTAATTATGTTTTGTTAAGATTAAGAGCCTCGTTAGTTAATAAATAATTCGTCTTATTTTAGTTTTAGTCAAATTTACAAGTTAAATTCGATTTGATTGATTTAACATTTCATTTAGCTACGTCTTAAGAAAAATTTGGGCCTTATTTTCTTTCCTCGGAACCTTTCATTTTCTAGATTACCCAGTCCACATACAATACCCATTACAACAAGCAACCCAAAACAATATACGTATCGCATTACCAAAACAACCCAACAACTCCTGCACACTGTCGTCTTCTTCACGCGCAAAGCGAGGAAAACCCATAATTTCAGTCGCAATCCGAGCGAACCTCGCGCGTCCTCTTCCCCTTTCTCTTATCCTCTCGTACGAAATGTACTCGAATTTTCCAGGTTTTATAATCTCCTTACGACCTTGTCCTTCATCCGAAATCGAACGGCTCTCCTCTACAATCCGTTGTTGGATTTGGTACTATTGCCAGCCGTTTTGAAACTTATCCCTTCAAAAAAAAATTTGAATTTCAAACTCGAGCTTCAAATCGAATTTCCTCCCATAATCAGTCTATTCTCCTTCTATAAAAGCTCTCTTGTTTTTTCATTGAAAGAGGATTTTTTTTTGAAAATTAGGAGACATTTTCAGGTTGGGGATTTTAGGGAAAAATTTTCTTTTGCTGGAAACTCTTCACTAGAGGAGATATAGAAAATCAGAGGGGTTAGAAACTTTCTTCTGGAGGTTTTCTTTATATTGAGTATTCACTTTGTAAAGAAACCCAAGACACAAATATAGACTTGAGCCTTGGGAGGGTAGAAAATAGGAGATCAGATTTGCTCTTGTTCGGCTCTGTTCTAATTTTGTCGGAGTTTTCGGAGTCGCCTTCTAGTGTTGAAGTCGCCTTCTCCTGCTCGTTTGGTTCCCATTCGCTGCCCCCTAAAAGGTAAATTTCTCTAGGCATCTTAATTCATTTCTTTAGTCGAAATGTTAGTTCGTATATTTGAGCTCAACTCTGTTGATTTTCTTTCGTACTCGAACTTGTTTTGTTGGTTGTCTTTGTGGTTTTCCTACGCCATTTGCGGTCAATTATTGAATCTGTGGGTGTGGTATGTGAGTTCTCTGTTTCTCATAGTTTTTCTCCGTCTCATCCCATTGTATTATTACTATATTATTTATACGTTGGGAAGTTTCGCACCATTGGTTATATGCCGTTAGCTGCTGTAGGTAGGTGGATATTCGACTGTTATGTGTATCCATTTGTGTTCTCCTTAATTTTTGTAAGTCGTTATGCTCTACTAATTTTTCGTGTTGTTTCTTCGTTACTCATTTTGCTACGTTTTACCCTTGTTCACGTTTGTTTAAGTGTTAAACTCCCTTGGTTCTGTTCTCATTGTCTACGAAGCTCGTCTCAATTAATTTTCATCTACATCAATAGATACACATATATATTTACTGACGTTCAACCCCCATGTTCTGATTTTTTTTTTATTTCTGTTGTTCTATATGTTTTTACTTGTTTTCGCTAATAGACATCCTCTACTTCTAGCTAAAGGTGTGACTTTTGCGAACTGCCTCTCTGTGTAAAAACCAAGCATTGTTGGATTTTGATTATGCTCACAGCCCCCTTTGTTTTCAGCATGTTTCTATGTTTGGTTAGTGTAGAATATTACTCCTTCTATTGACTGCAATGTATTTGATGTAAAATCATTTTTCTTTTAATGATAAGTCGCTATGTTTAGGGTTTTCTACCGTATATTTGTTGACGATAATTGTATGGTTCGTATCCTAGTTGTGAAACCATGATAAATCCCAGACTATTGCACATTGTTTTTTTATTTATCAAGTTTCCCACCCCCATTTCCTTGTTGACTATTATATATATCTAGCTTAAAAATCATTTCGTTCTAGTTGTTTTTTTTACGCTTTGGTTTAGAATGTTGCCTTCTGTCTAGTTTCCTGTTTGGTCTGAGTTGGATTTCTTTTCTCATGATGTAGTAGTGTTCCATTCCAGTATGTGCTTATTGAAGCATGAATCGTTTTCTTTTTTTTTCTTCTATTTGGAGAGCTTTTGTGGGGTTGAAGTTGTATTTTTGGAAGGATAAGCTTAAGGTTAAGCCTTTAGCACGATCTTATGTGTAAAGATCTGTACCAATTTAATATAGTCTCTCGTACGTCTGCCTCTGATCTTCCCTTCATTTATATTTGTGAAAATTTGCTATAAACCCCTCTCTTTAGGCCTGAAAATTCTGCCAAAGCGGTAGAGCATTGGCTAGTTGGCTTATTAATTTGTCATGGCTGAAATATGCTAATTGTCTGTTGAGATCATTTTGTGGCAGTAGTCTGTCCACATGTTCTAGTGTTGTTCTCGTTTTCTTTTCTTTTCTTTTATCCTGTTTTCTTGTTCTTGTTGAAACTGTAATTTTTCTACGGAAGATGGTGTCGACCTAGCTACTATTTTAAGAATTAATAATATGCACTTATTATCTTCCGCTTATTTGGTGATTTAGCGATTAGGGATCATAACATTATCTCGGGCGTGACATGTGTTAACATAGTTGCCAGTATCGTTCAATAATGTCTTCGCCGTGTTTAGTTGTTTGAGTATAATGATAGTTTCTTCTAAAGTGAGTTGATCTGCCACTATCTTCAAATTTTTGTCCTAAACTTGATGAGTTAACTACATTAGGCTCTATCGATCTTTTATATACATATGAGCATGAGGTGTGAAACTCATTGATTATGCAATATTTTGTCGACATTCTTGATTTACTGTTAATTATTGACTGTGAATAAATTTGATCCTGCTCTCCGTTTTTCTTGTATATATAATTCCTAAGATTTGCTGCTCCTAAGCACATGCTTGGTATAATTAGGCACTCTAGTGCTGTCCGATTTTTAATTAGTTTATTTAAATTGGTTTGGTTATGTTTTCTCAAGTTACATATCACTTTGGGTCCAGTAGTTGAAATGCTTATATTCCTAGTTTAATTTTCAAGTGTCTTCCATTTCAATAGGATAATTATTTTGTTTAAATGATATTTCCAAGTTTATTATTTTTTATATACTAATTACTCTCCTTCATTTGTTATTGCATCTGACACTCCTCTCGAAAACTCCATTCCCCTTCATATTCTCTAGTCTAGCCACGAAGGCTCAAACCTCTATCCTTCGAGTTGGTCATCCCACGAAAAAGACGTACAGGTTTCGGAGTTGGAAAGATCCAAAAATCCAAGGAGTTGAAGACTTGAGCTAAAAGCTCCAATTTATTTTCACTAAGTTTTGTATTTTGTTCTTTTGGGCCTAAGCCCTCGTCATTTTTGTATTCTTGTTATTATCTTGTTTAGTTTATGACAGGTACAAAGAAAATGGGTCCAAAAATCGATCAAGGCGAACAGAAACCAGATTTGGATCCAAATCCCTCTCCCTCTTTCTTATTTCTTGTTCATTTACTCGCTTTATTTGTTAGTTAGTTTTAAGCTAAGAAAACTCCAAATTCCCCGCAAACCCTTAAATGCCTTATCGAATTAAAACCAATAATTTTGCAAATAATTCACTTAAATAATAATTTAGTATTTTATCTCTTTACCCTTCTAAACTTTTTCCAAGTCAAATCTAATTTTAGCCAGTTATGTTAGTTGCTGGAATATCGTTTTAAACGGATGTTTTAGGTGTCTAACACCTTCCGAAAGCATTAATTTGAATCTCTGAGCCCTTTAAATGTTTTCAAATAATTTTCTCTGTTAAGTTATTTGAATACAATAGTTTTCTTAATTTTTCTTAAAAATTAAGTGGCGACTCTAAAATGTCAAAAAATTTTGAAAAAATATTTTTTTTGATAAAACTCTAATCATGTTGGTTAGCTCATAAACAACCAAAAGATTCCATAAGACTATAAACCAACACATATTGAATTCAAACTTAGCTTAAATACGGTCATGATTAGCATTCTAGACATACGAATATGACTAAAATCACTGCCCCACACTTAGAGCTTTGTTCGTCCTCGAACGAACTTACTGGCTACTCTTAGACCTAGACTCACTAGTATGGTATTTGTGCGTCCACCACTTTCTTTCAAGAATCTATAAACAGTTAACACGAGCATGATTTAATTTAAAGTATACATGACCCCTGTAATTGACTTGACAACATTTTGCAACCAACACATTCAACAACATATGCACCACTACATATCACCTATCCTTCATACAACAAGTGCCCCTCACTCCAAAGAATAGTCCACACACCCAACTAGCAATTTGAATATATTTTAGTGACTTTATAACTATGTACATTCTCACTTAACAACAACATCAAATATGTATGCATTGAGAAGCATAAGCTTGCCAATTATGTACATCTCTACTAAAAAAAGTGTGTTATGCTCAAAATCAAATAGGACTTATTCCGGTTGTAATGTAGGCTTAAGTTAAGGGAGGAGGATTTATTTAGATAAAATTAGTGACTTATCCTCCATAATGCACCATATTCACTTTCTTCTAACATTCACAACTTTTTCTTCTCTTTAGCCCCCCCCCCCTCTTTCTTTATATATTTAAAATAATATTATTTTTTATTTTTTTCACTCGCTCATTTTATATATTTTTTTGACATTCAACAATAGCCACCCTTTACTTAGAGATTTCCCTTGAATTAAGGTGCACGTTGCCCTTGGAAGGGATATAGTCATCATTAAGATATTACCAAGTTAGCCACCTTCAACTTTGATTTTTAATCTTAGTCGAAGTGCACAATGTCCTAAGGACCAGGGCTAATCTCAGATCAAGCTCATGGGGTGTAATTTTACCTCTTCTTTTCACTCTTCCCCAAGACACTCAACATGTCTATCCTATTCATTCTTTTTGTTGTTTTTATTTTTTTTCCTAATATAGTGCATTAACGATTTGGGATCAAAGCTAACAGTATAAATAATATTGGTTTGACTCCAATATGTGGGTTAGAACAAAATTACGACTGAAAAGGCTCAATTGGGCAATACTAGGGATATAATTTCTTAAATGGCTAAAATTCTAGACAATTCAAAGAAGGTCTATTATCGTCTTCTTAACACAATAACACTTGTATTTCGTTTGAATAACAAGTCGGGTAAGTTCTAGACTCAGATGTATTAATGGATATTACAAAAATTCACCGCTCATGGCATAAGTTATACTCAAGAATGGATCAATCACAACAACACAATCATATTATGTACAATGTCAAAATTAAGCTTAAGTTGCATCATACCAGTCATATACAAAAAGTTCAATTGCATTCATATAATACTTCAACACATGTTTTTCATACATAATTCCTTTTAGATTTCTAGCTTCAGCACAAACCAACCTACGACTCAATGAAAAAAATGCCTTTATGATGGTCGTCATACATCTATCATTGGTCAATGCGACTCAACTACGACAACTGACTCATTCCTACAAAAACAAAATCTTTTTGTATTTTGTACAATTGAAATGGACTATCCTTGGCCAAAGAACTGTAACACCCTAAAAACGAGCTAGGTTAAACTAGATACTAACATGTGTGCCATCAGTTTATAAGGTCTTAAATGGTGAATTATAGCGTTAGAAGTCAGTGTGTTGAGTTTGGAGGTCAAATGTCCAAGAATGACCAAGACGTTCAGAAGTTAGCCTTTAGACGTGCTTGTGTGTTCTAGTGTGCCTTTGAATGTTTTACGTGTCGTTTGGAGTTTAAATTGATAAGATGTGTTCCTAACATCTATACGATCGTATTTAGGGTTGAAACGTCCGGACACAAATCCCCAAGGAATTTTGGCATGAAATTGCCCAAGGCAGTCCCAACCAATAAGCACCAATTGATGCTTCGTCTTCCAAGACACGCCCGTCGATTGGGGGCGTTCCTCAACACTTAGGCGTGGGAGCTTAATCCCCCAAAGATAAGCCTCTAACCAAAACTATAGCTTCCCAGGGCGGCCCATCGTCTGGTCGACGCCTCGAGGATGGCCTTCGCCGATTGACACTTGCAGTTTTCTGTGGGTGTCTCGGCCAAGTGGAGGGCATTATGGAAAATTCAACTAGCATCCAAATAAAGTGTTGGGCAGTTGTTTTAGGAGTTTCTGGGTATTTTAAGTTACTTTATAATCCTACAACGTAGATTAGAGTTCATTATTCAAAATTAAAACTCATGACCCCAAATGGATATCTCTAGACTCCATTGAAGCTTGATGCAAGGTTGAAGCTAGAAGCTTGATTTATCCATTGATTCTTCATCTTTTTAGTAGATTCTCTTTATTAAGGCATGTTGTTTCATCCTTGAATCCATTTCTCTTCAAGGAGTCAAATTCCAAATGTTTTTCTAAGACTTTCTCAAAGTATGAACTTCTATTTTGACTCATGGCCATGGGTTATTGCATAAAATTATTTGAATCAATGTTTTAAGATCTTGTGTAAAGTGAATTGATTGAAAAGGGTAGGAAATGTTGATGTTGATGAAGGAAAGGTGGTGAGTTGACCTTATCTTTTCTATATTGTGTAGAATTGCTATTCAATTGTATTGATTGGTATAGTCCACATATGGTGGCAGTGTTTATGTGTTATAATTGTGATGGACATGGCCTTATCGGCATTTTTATGTGAATTATGTTGTTATCATATTATAGCTGATATATGTGATCAATGTGAAGGATTATGTGATATATGCTTATATGTGATATGATTCTCTCTTGTTGACTATATGAGAATTATGGTGGACTATGTTGATGTTTCTATAAGAGTGGATAGGGTGACTATTTAAGTTGACTTAGTTGTCCCTATTTTCTACTTGAATATTATTGTACATGTGATAAAATGATGATGCGTGTGTCTTGTTTTGGTAGACCTATGTCCATTTACTTGATAATGAAAGAATGTGAATATGAACTCTTGACTTAGTAGGCTTAAGCACCTTTGTCATGTAGGTGTATGAATGATTGAAATATTATCTTGAACATGTTAAGAAGGTCAATAAATTAGAACCTTCAATATAGAAAGAAGTTATATAATCCTTGAAGTTGAAAGCCGTAATAGTATCCATCTTGTGTGAATGATGGACTTAGGCATAGGTTGGCTGGAACGACATGAAACCATCTCTAAGGAAGTCATTGAGCTATCCTTGTAACCATTGAGTGGCATCCATAGTAGACCCATCCTTGGTAGGTGTATTATGATTTGGTAATGACTAAAATATGGTACCTTATCGTATGCCCTTATGTAATTGAACTTACTTTATGAGAACTAAGGCTAAGCACCGAGTGAATATGCTTGTAGTAGTGACTCTACTTAAATTGAGACTAGAGTACAAAGAAATTCTTTATATTCCTTAACCATGTGCGTACATGAGATGTGTTCTAGTTCTACCCTTTGCAAGTAGAACACCCTCCCTTGGAGTAGGGTAGACTCCGAATTCCATACCTAGCTAGTATGGTCTATGTCATTTAATTCCTATTCTCATCATGTGGGATGCATTCTAGTATTGGAGAAGTTCTACAACGTGTAGGTAGTGGAATGAGACGCTATCTATACATGACACGAGTAGACTTTGAAGAGCTCGGATGAGGGTTCCCTAGGTCTTCTCCAAGACCATTATTTGAAGTCCTTAATTGAGGATTCCCCAGGTCTTCTCCAAGACCATTATTTGAAGTCCTTAATTGTTGAATATCTCTTAAATGTCTAAATGAACATTTTTGACTTAAGTTAATGCATGTGAATGAAAAGGTACTTATCTAGAGTAGCTTTGTGAATTGCTTAGGTAGGGTTGAAGGGGGTGTAAGGGCTGTCTCTTCATGTCTTACTTAGGTGAGTCTTAGATAAAAAGGGAATAATCTTGGTTTAGGTAGTCTTGAGGATCACTTATGTGTGTGCGAAGGGATTGTATGGGCGACCACTTCATATCTTGCTTAAGTGGATCTTAGGATGACCTTTGGTAGGTAATATATATGCTTATGTGGTTTCTAAGTGATGATATTTGAATATTGTGGATTAATTGAAATATATGTTATATGTGAATATTGGTGTGACTATGGTTCTTATACTTGTTTTATTAGGTTTTATTCAAAAGAGCATGCAAAGAACGTTATAATGTAAATGTCAATTTTAGCATGATTTTATTGCATGTCACCATACTTAATGCATTAAATGTACTAATTCCATATGTTATTTTATATCTAAAGGTGTAGGAGGCAAGGGAGGAGTCTATTAGTAGCAAGCTTGGAATTAGCATCATTTCAAGCAAGTCGTTGTATATCCTCACATGATTCGAGGACATAGTTATGTTTAGCTTTTCTTTTCAAGAGATATTGTATTAGACTTTGATATTCCATTTTGTTGATGTATGGGTTGTGACCCAATATATTCATTTGTCTAATATGGCTACAATCTTCGTATGTTTCTATAAAAGCGATTTTGAACTATTGTTCTATTATTAT